GGAAAATTGGTAATCAATGAAGTTAAGAACAGCCACCATCCTTTCAAGAAAAACACTCAGGCTTTATAAAACTGCAAGAATAGTGTTAGACTTTCCACACATGAACATGGAAAAGAAACTAAAAGCCCTAACATATGGTTATGTCATATGTTAGCAGAAGATGGGACTCTAAAGTCTTTTTTTTTAAGATTTATTTATTCATACAGAACTGGGGTACAGGCCAGAGATGTGGAGGGTGAGAGGATTCACCAGAGGCAGAGTGGGGTGCAGAACAGGCAGATCGACGAAGTACACTGCTGAGGGGAGCAGCTGGCGGGTCAGGAGAGGTCTGCCACGCCATGTGGTCACCTCCGGGGCAGGTGGGAATCGAACTCATGCGGAAGTGGCTTAAGCTTTGTGCTGTGTTTTAACCCGCTGCGCCACCAGGGAGAGCCTGGGACTCTAAAGTTTAAATAGACAAGGAAATGGTTACTGGTAGAGGAAAGAATAAATGCAAGCAGATAAAGTAGGCTTTCATAAACCTAAATAATCTGTCATAGCCAATTCAAGTGTTGGGGTTCTATCAAATAATGATAGGTCCTTCCTCATTCCCAGAGCCCTTATGTAAATTAGTTTATTAGCTCAAAAATATTTAAGGAGCTGCTACTTCAGTACAGAACCTACATTATACTGAGAATAACAAGGTACAATATGGTGCAATACAATATGGTGCAATTACCAGGGCACAAAGATAAGTACCTGGTGAGACATACAGTGAGGGCATACAAGAGAACAGTGGGGAAAACAAGGAAAATTTGGCTCTCTCTTGAAAAGGTAAAGAAGATATTTTTATCCCAGAGTAAAAGAGTGATAGCAATTCATATCTTTAAATTGTAAGGAAAAAACTCATGAACTTTCAAATCTGTAATTAGTGATACTGTTAGCTCATAATGCAGGGGAGACTGTCATCTTGAAGGCTGATACTTCTGTTGTTAATTATTTAGGGGAAGGAAATGCTATGTCCTGACGTATAAAGTTTTATAGACTCTGACAATAGGGGAGAAATACTGCCTGGACCACTATACTTCAACAATGTAACATAAGAAATATGTGCAAATAAATCAAATATGAGGATAAAAAGGGGAAGAACTACGGGAAAAATATAGGTTTGGAAATATTTAGCACGAAGAGAAGAAGGGAAAAATTAACGTTGAAACTAAAACTAATTAATGCAAAGGGAAAGGGATGAATTCCCTTGATGAACATAAAGTAAGTCGAGCTAAAGCATAAGAACTCAAAAGTGTCCTTTTGTGATAAAGGAAAAAAAAAAAGTGGGCAGAACTTGGGCACAGGGAAGTATGCCTGGGTGGAAGCAGGACTTGGCAAATGTATCCTTTACTATAGTTTAATAAGTAGTTTTTGAAAGTCTAAGATGTGGCAAGCTCTGTATCCTGTTGGGGTCCAAGATGGACATGACAGTCTGTCAGTCTTTGAGTCACAAATGGATTATTTCACAGCGATGCAGGAAAAGCAATGACCGTAGCAAGCACAGGATTCATGGACCCTGAGAGGACAATTCTTAGCCCAGGCTGAAGTAGTCTCAGGAAGCTTTTCTGTTTGATGAAATACTTGTGCTGAGTCTTGAGGTTGGGTAGGAGCAGGAAAGAGAGAAAAGGGGATAGGCATTTTGGGCAAAAGCAACAATCATAACAAAGTGTATGGGAGGGAACTATAAGCAATTCAGTGGTATTAGCAAAAGAGATGGGCAAGGCAGTACAGGGGGGTGAGAGCTGCCATGGGAGCCAGGCATGCAATCTAAGGGCATGGGGACATTCTCCGGAAGAAATGGTGGTGGGAGGTAAGAGAGTGTAGGCAGCTTCCATTTAATAGCAATCACTTTCATTTATATTCAGGATGACTTTGAGGGAATCAAGACTCAGAATAGTTTGGAGGCTTTTACAGTTGTTCAGGTAGAAGATAAGGAATTGAGCTAGGTTGTAAAGGAAGAATTAATCAAGAAAAATGAATGACAAAAATTGAAAAGACTTGCTAGCTGGTTATATGGGAGAGGTCAAGGAAAAGAAAGAACCTAGAATCAGTCCCAGACTTCTGACTTGGGTAACCTTGTCATGAACATAGAAACATGGACTATATATTAATGTATTTATCAAAATATAGGTAAACAGAAGGTCCAGAAGAAGTTGAATGTAATATAGGGATAGTGTAATGATGTACAGCAACTACCTCAAAATTTAGTGGCATAAAACAGCCATAAATTCATTATGCTATGGCTTCTGTAGACCAACAAGAGGAACAGGGCTCAGCAATAATGATTTGTGTCTATCCCGTAATGTCTGGTGATTTGGTATGGAAGAGTCACATGGCTGAAATCAGTTTTTCACTACAGACTGGAATCTTGATGGAAGTGGGCTGGGTTCTGCCTTATGAATTGTTTATCAGGATCCCTGACCTCACCCTACCAGATACCAGTAGCATCTCCTCCATCCACTGTGACAACCAAAATGTCATCCTAACATTGCCTATTTCCTATAGGACAATTGTCCCCTGTGCTTGCAGACTGATGTGTAATGAGTATGAAACTTAACTAGGACCAGAGAGATATTTCAAACCACCAGCGTGTAGGTCACTAGAGTCACTGCAGGTGTCTCAGGCTATGTAAAAGGAGAAGATCAGTGGGTCAAGGTTAGAAGGAGAGATCCATATTGAAGGTGGTGAGCAGAAGAGAGAACATTAAGAACATACCCAAAGAGAAAACTCAAGAAAGCCAAAAGAGTAGTGTAATGGCTGTTGCTGGTGTCTGCCCAGCAATTTACCTACACTCTACTGTCCGTCTGTGGCCACCAAGGCTGGATGTGTGCCCTGCATAAGCCAGGCCAGATAGGCCTTCCCTGTGGATTTGTTTTGAACCTCAAAGTAAGGTGTTTCTTTCCTCTTGTGTTTACTGGAATGATGTCCACACAGAAGCACTGACAGCACACTCCCTGGCAATTCTGAAGGCTAAGCTGAGTGGGTTACATGTCCCCTAACCTGAGAACGACCCCTGTGCTTCAAAGAGCAGGAAGCAGCTCTTGAGGAAAATTGGTGGAAACCTCCTCAGGTGCCTATACTTTCTAACATCTTGTCAGATGTCTGAAGTCCCATTAGTGCTTCTCTGTGGAACCATAAAGACCAAGGATGCTGCACAGAAATGTCCCTTCCATGTTGTCTTGTGTAAAGGCTGTGAAATTGTGCCTGTTGTTGCCCCAGCACAAGCCTGTGAGCTGTGTGGGAGCTTAAGCAGTAGCAAGCCAGCACCGTATACAGGTACACATGTTATGATTTCATCAACAGTAGAAGAAAATGAAACCAGTGGTTGAGAGAAGCAGAAGTAGGAACTGAGTAGGACCCAAACTTTTCATGTTAGCTGAGCCTCTGGATCCAATCACCAGAGACCCTGATTTGACAAGATATTTGGCAGCTGTTCCTAGCCACTATGGCCACCCAAAATGACCCAATCAGGCCAGCCATGGAGGTTTTCAAGCAAACGTCATTGTCCTGTTGGCAAACAGAACTTTATGATTGCTCAATTTTTAAGACAGTCTGTCATGAATGCTTGGCTAAAGCAACACAGACCTCTGCTGAGGAAACTGCCTGACTATCCTCCCAGGCAAAAAGCCAGTAGGAAGGCACTGGAGCATCCAGACAGGCTACCAAGCGACCTGGGAAGGCGCTGGCAGACGGAGCTCACTTCTCCTCTTGTTCCTCCTAGGCTGAAGGATGATGCTTCCTCATCTAGCATCCATTCTGTAGGCACAGACTTGCTTCTCTTCCTCTCTACCAATTTCTCCTCTCCTGAGGGGCCACCATTTTGTGAGCCTTAAGAAAGTCTCTTCCCCTCCCTACTCAACCATAATTCAACTGTCCTGTTACTGTAATGTATAACAGAGGAAATGACAAATTCGGTCACACGGGGCCACTTCTCCCATCTCCAACTTAGCCATATCTCCCTATTCTCTGCTTGTTTGAAGGACCTGGCAAAAGACCAGCCCAATCTCCATAAACAGGAAGCTGTTAAAGGTACATAAAACCTCAGAGACAGACATGAGACGGAAAAGATTTTCTGTATAATATTTATTTGTTATTTCATCCTAATTTTGTCTTGATCTCTCACCTCCCATTCCTATCCTTTTCAAGGAAATCCAATTTTTTAAACAAAATCTTTAAAATTATGATTATTTAGAGTCACAATACAATTTTCTTTTCTCAAAAGGGGGAACCCACAGCTTTTATTCTTATGCAGTCTTTTCAAATATGATGGTAATATTTATGTCATATACTATTAAACCCTTCATCCTCTGAGGTTGTTGACATTTTCTAGTTCACTGACACATCTCCCATAATACAATAATTCTATTCATTTTCATGAATGAGGTGGGAACTATACAAAAAAAAAAAAAAAGGATTTTAATCCCTGAGGTGCCAGTTAAAATGGACAAGGTTACCACTGGAACACGATTTTAAAAATTAGCCTTAAATAATAAGCATGGACCATACTTGCTGGATCAGAATCACCTCCATAGCATGAAGTCATTAAGAAAATTGCATTTGCTGGGTTAGTTCACCCTGCTATTCCCAGCACTCAAGGCTATGGTAAGTTTTCCTTTTGTAAAGGAATAACTCATAGCAATGAAGTCTGAAGAAACTTCTGAGATCCTCAGAAATCAAGAGAAACCACATCTCTGTTTCTCTAGTCTCCATCCACATTGTTGGAGAGGGTTTTGCAGCACCATTCCAAGACCTGAAAAGGATGATGAACCAAGATGGGTTTTATACTTCTCCATATTTAGTTTAAAAGGAGAAGTCAGTCCTCCTGGCTAAAATGGGTATGCCCTGCTTTGTCTCGGCCCCAGGTAACATCAGCAGAATGGGGTCTTGCTCTTAGGACCCTCCCCGACCCTCTCCCCAAGCAGACTGTTTCCCTAGCAGCCAGGCTCTGCGGTTCGGTTCTGTTTGCTCCTGCCCTAGTAGTAGCGGTTGAGGCTCCGGGTGCCGGGCACCTCCGGCTGGCCATTCATCCAGATCTCCCGGATGATGCGCTCGCGCTCCTCCAGCCGCTGGGCGCGCTCCAGCTCCTCCGCCGAGGTGAAGACGTTCTTGTTCAAAGTCCTCTCGAAGCGCCGGTGTCTCCGAACAGAGATGTCAGACGCTGTGTCTGAGCTGCCATCCTCGCTGTCACTGCTGTCGCTACTGCTCGCTCTGTCCTGTAGGAACTTCTTCCGGGGACGCCGCCGGCAGTCTGTGTGGCAAGAGATCCTTATCACCAAGGCAGCCAGAGTGAGGACCAGCCCAATGCACACGCCAGACACAAAGTACAGAGCTGCCCGCTCAGGATTTTCTGGAGGAGGAGGAAGAAGAGAGCATTTGAGAGATGGCAAGTCCACAGGCAGAGGGCGGGACTGGGGTGACTCCAACCCTATCACCCCTCACCAGACCCCAGAGTTGGATTGCTATAGGCTGCTATAGGCACCGCCTTCCTAAGTGACCGGGTGCTTGAAATAGTCATAATGTAATTGCTAGCAAAGGTGAAAAAGAACTTAGCACTGACAATAAGCAAGTAACATTTGCTTACAAGATGTATTTGCCACTGTAACCTAGAACAGAGAAATCTTTGCTTCTGAATTTGGCTCTGCACCACCTTGAATGGCCTTTTGTCACAGGTCATCTAGCCATTAAGATGAACCCCACCTCTTGGTATTCACACTTATGCAATCTCCCCTTTGGGGGGCTGGACCCTTTGTCCTGGACTTAGTGACTTCTAATAAATTGAGTATGACAAAAATGGCTGGTCATTCTAAGATGAGATCATTTTAAGACCAACTTCCAGCTGATTTATGTTCTCCCTGGTTTATTTTCACCCACTTATTCTGACAAAGCTAGTTGCCACATTGTGAGCCGCTCTCCAGAGGCTCGCATTATAAAGCACTAAGGGTGGCATCTAGCTAACTGCTTTGAAAGTAATGAATCTTGCCAACAGCCACTGGAGTGAGCTTGGCAGTGAATCTCCCCTGATGGAGCCTTGAGGTGACCACAGTCCTGGCCTTGCCACAGCATTGTGAGAGACCTCGAACCAGAGTACCCAGCTAAAGCAGACTGATTCCTACCCCCCGGAAACTGAGAGATCATAAACATGCATTGTTTTGAGCCACTGAGTTTTGAGGTTGCTACTTGCATTATTTAACTTATAGTGCTGGACTTTTACACATGTTCTTTCTCCCCTAAATATTGCCCAAACCAGTACTCTGTAGGAGAAGGTGGGGCAGGTTCACTGGCTGCACTGGTTCTGTAGCTCTTCTGGAAGGCTGTTTGCCTAGGACCAGATTGTGAGTCTCCTTCTAGGTGCTGGTGTGTGTAATTGGATCCTATCACTCCCATAGAAGCATTTTGTCCCTGGATGGATTTTCAATTACAAAAGTTGTTTAAAAAGGCACAAAAAGTGGATATGCCTTACATCATCATGTCACCAATGTCAAACCCCCCCCCCCCATCACAACCACATCTGTGCCCTGTATCAAGAAGGTCAGCAGTGGCCTAGGTATCCCTGGGCCTGCCTCGTGATATGCGCTTTATTCCATAGGTAGTCAAGGAATGTTCTACTGTGATTTGTGGGTAGCAAATAAGTCAGAATTGCCCATGAGTAGCCAGCTATATCTTCACCCCTGTGTTCACAGCAGCATTAATTTACAATAACCAAGACATGGAAAATAACCTAGGGGTCCATCAACAGATGAATATGAAAAAATATAATAACACACACACACACACACTTGTATGTATGAGCCATAAAAAAAGGAAATCCTGCCATATGCAGCAATGTGGATGACCCTTAAGGGCATCATGCTAAGTGAAATAAGTCAGAGAAATTAAAAAAACTGTGATTTCACTTATGTGGAACCAAAACCATCAAGCTCATAAAACAGAGTGGTATGGTGGTTGCCAACAGCCTGGGTAGAAGAAATGTGGAGATGTTAGCCAAAGGGCACAAACTTTTAGTTATAAGATCAGTAAGTTCTGGGGATATAATGTATAACAGGGTGACTATAGTTAACAATATTGAGTTGTGCATTTGAACCCTGCTGTGAGAATAGAGATTCAATGTTCTCACCTTAACAATAACAAAATGCTAGTTATGTGAGATTAATGAATATATTAATAAATCTTATTGTGGTAAACATTTCACATTATGTGTAGCAAACCAGTACATTGTATACCTTAAACTTATACAATGTTCAACTTCAATTGTATGTCAATAATGCTGGATAAAAAGTAGAAACAGGGGCCTCCCTGGTGGCGCAGCGGGTTAAAGCACAGCACAAAGAAGCTTAAACCACTTCAACATGAGTTTGACTCCTGCCTGCCCCGGAGGAGATCCACATGGCGTGGCAGACCTCTCCTGACCCGCCCGCTGCTCCCCTCAGCTGTGTACTTTGTCGATCTGCCTGTTCTGCTCCCCACTCTGTCCCTGGTGAATCCTCTCACCCTCCGCATCTCTGGCCTGTACTCCAGTTCTGTACGAATAAATAAATAAATCTTTAAAAAAAAAAAAAAGTGGAAACAACCCAAATGTCCATTAAATGACAGGGAAAATGTTGTTAATACATACAATGGAATATTATTAAGCTGGAGAAAGAAGGAAATCCTATCATCTGTGACAACGTGGACAACTCTTAAAAACAGAGTAGAGTGGTGGTTACCAAGGGCCAGAGTGTCGGGTAAATAATAATTCAAGATACTAATGTCAACAGTGAGGTGGTGAATGCCTCTAATGGCCATGTAATGCACCCTTTTCCAAGTCAGTTTCAAATTCTTGGTTTTCAACAAAACAAAGGACCTTCTCACGTTGTCAGTTGGTAGAACATCAAACACAATATTTGATGACAGACCTCTCTGAGTTGGGGCATAGAATGCCAGTTTAATTTACAGACATGAATGGCTTTATTGTAACAAAACTCCTTTTGTTGGACATCTATATATTCATGCTAGTGAAGTTTCTCCACACTCATATTTATAAAAATGAAAACTTGGGATAGAATATTCACCGAATCAGGCTTCACTCTTGCAACAAGTGACATTTATCATAGGAAAAAAAAAAATCATTGTATGGGATGGAGCTCTTATACCTCTTAAAGAGATGCATTTCCTATAAATTTTAATTTTTATGTTTAAAAACTGTTCCTGGTACCTGTTCCAACCCATCTCCTTTTAAACAGCTTTCTGTTTCTCTGTCTCCTTTTCTGTCTAAGGTGCCACTCGTTTTACCATTATCTGTGCCCAAAATCAAGATCACCTTGACTCACTCTTTAAGTGCTCCACTGCACGAATAACTTCTTCTCAGTCACTCTTGTATCTCTTGTGGCCCCTCATTCTCTACTTTTCCACACCTGGGTCATCCCTATAGTTTCCTAACTTGACTATCAGATTCTAGTCTTCCCTCCTCCAAATGTCGGCCTTCCTGACCCTGTGTCCATGCTTTCATCTAGGCGGACACATCAGCCCGATTTGTCTTGGCAGCTTCGTCTCAGCTGCCTCTTTTAAGCAAAGTTAACTCTGCTAAGCACTCAGCTGAACTGTGTAAAGGTTAGTACTAGCAGAAAGGAATATCCCAGTTCCCAGCAGAGGGATATTCAATAAATGATAGTCTTTCTTATTTGTTAGCTTCTTTCCTTCCTTCCCTCTCTCTACCCATCTGCCTATCCATTTTTCCTCCCTCTGTGTCTCTCCCTTCTCTCTTTTCCTCCTTTCCTCCTCCCATCTGCCCTGCCTTCTGAGCATGTGTCTGCCTTCACCCCACCTGTTACACAGATTAACTCTGAAGGTGGTTTCTGATCTGAATCTTGAAAACCGCTGATTAACTAGTCCACTCTGTACTGCTACCCAGGTGAGAAAACATCCTCTCTTATCTGCTACAGTCTGAGAAAGGGATTCCTGGGGAAGCCCAGTAAAAGTAAAGATGGCAAAGGGAGTTTACTGGGCCTTGCTGGATCCTGAACAGAGACTCACAGCTGATTTTTACAACTGAGATAATCTGTGAAGTTTCTCATCATTCTACAAACATCAAAACTGAAGCTCTGGCCCTCTCTGATGGCACAACAAGTTAGGACGCAGCACTGCAAGCTGGCGGCAACCGCTTCAGTGCGAGTCCTGGGCCCTGGAGGTGACCCACATGGCGCGGCAAACCTCTCCTGGCCCGCCCGCTGCTCCGTTCAGCAGTGTGCTTTGTCCATCTTCCTGTTCTGTTTCCCACTCTGTCTTTGGTGAAGCCTCTCACCATCCACACCCCTCTGGCCAGTACCCCAGTTCTGTATGAATGAATAAGTAAATCTTAAAAAAACAAAAAAGAGAGAGATTAAAAAATGAAGCTCTATCATAGCTGTTTTTATTGTTGCTGCTCCAGGTCACTTCCTCTTGGCCAATGATCCACCCTAGTCTTGACCAGAGCCATACAGCTGTTAATTATTCCAGGAAGTGGAGTGGGAAGGGCTATTGTCGGTTGTTTTCCTTTAATAAATAAAAATAAATGTATTGCTGTATCTGGCTTCCTGCAGGGTCATTGTTTTCACGGGCAGGAAAGGGCCCTATGTGGAGGGCCAGGACTGATTTCATTTGCACCTTCAGAGGTCAGATCATGCCCCATGGGCTGCAGGAGAGAACAGCAATGCCAGTGAGGGCCGGATCCATGGCCATCAGGAAAGCGTAACCTTCCTCTGTCTAGGCCTCATTGGTCCCAAAGTTTGCAAATCTTTAGTGGAATGGGGCGAGTTTTTACAACGGTCTATAAATAATATGGGGGGGGGGACTTACATGGAGTCAGAGTATTCAGTGTGATCTCTTTTCTGATTTTATTGTTTAAAGATTATTGATTTATGTATACAAGAGCTGGGTGTAGGCCAGAGGTGAGGGTTAGGGTGAGAGAATTCACCAGAGATAGAGTGGGAACCAGAACAAATGGACTGATTGAAACATACTGTTGAGGGGAGAAGTGGGGCCAGAAAGGTGAGGTCTGTTACGCCATGTGGGTCACCTCCCTGGCCAGAGATTGAACTCATGCTGCAGTGGCCGCTGACAGCTTGACAGCACTGAGAGTTAATCCATTGTACCACCAGGGAGGCCCCTTCTCTGAATTCTTAAGGATGTCTCTTTATGGGATTCTGCCTTCAACCCCCATGGGAAAGCGAAGTGATACCCTGATATCACTTTGTGCTCTCTGAGAGGCAGAAGGAAGTTTTCTCCATCTCCTTCCACCCCTGCCTTGTTTTTCCTGAGGAAGGAGCTATATTGGACAACTACAGGGGTCTGGGGCTGGCACTTGTGTGTGTTCCTCTGCTTTCTCCTCTCATC